CCGCTCCTGCAAGGCAATATCAGTGCGAAACATAAGTACACAATAAAAATAGAAAGGAAACAATTTTTTTGTTTGGTGTATCGAATATTAAATACCCTACTAAAAACTGATTTTCTGTGATTTCTCCTATGAAGCTTTAACTTTTTGAGAATTGCAAGGAATAAAGAAGATTCGTGATAGCAATACTTTTCAAATTGAGCCACAAGTTGGCTTTAAAATAAACAAACTTATCTCTCGAACGGAAAGCTAGAAATTTATTAAACATACGCTCAATGGGAGAGGCGTTACACACTTTGCTAGCAGACAAGAAAACCCCTTCTCTTAAAGGGTATGCAAATGAATTCAAGGCTGCATCTTTAAAACAAGACTTTTATTGATTTTCAAAGCAAATGCTCTTAACGGCTGACAATAACGAGCACATTGTGTGCGTGTGTGTTTTAGTTGGGCCCGAGCCCAATTCTGGGCCCATTCAAGTGGCCCAGTCTAAATGCAGAGTCTGCCCAAATGGCTGGCAACTTGGCACATGAATCACAAACGCCATCCGGCATGACGCACGCACGAGCTATCAGCACAAATATATTAAGTTCGATACACACACACGTATATATACATATGTGCCTATATAGCTATATTTATTTGACAACAACTATGTGCATGGACGCTGATAGAGTAAACAATGGCAACATGTTTGCTAGCTGTTGCCCGCCTTTGGCTATGGCAGCCGCCATCGATAATGACTGTTAGTTAATACTTATCAGAGCCTTTGCCAACCAACCGCCCTTCCGCCACCCGCACATGCCGCAAACCGGGCATGGGCATCAGCTGAGGAGCGGCATGTGCAATCTACGATTAGATTCGCTTACCGAAGCCAACCCACAACAACAAAAACAAAAACAAGAACAACGACCACTTGGCATATCAATAAAGCGTCTGCTTAATTGTTATTCATATGTGCTTATAGTATATATATATATATAGGTATATAAATTTATATCGAGCTATCAAGCTGCATTTCGCAATTGGATTGGATGAGTGGATGGGGCATTGAATAAATTACTGTGTATGAAAAGCAAAATTAAGATTCATTCAAAGAACCAAAATATATTATAGTAAAAGCAAAAAGCGGTTTATACTGAGATATTGCCTTGCTTACGAGCTAACAATGAATTCATAATTAAAATCAGTTTGCTTCGAAAAGCTATTAAGATGATTCATTTTGAATCGTTTTGTTTTCATTCATTATTGTGTGGGATTTCCCCCTTTAATACTCTGTAATTTTGCGTTTTTTAACACTATAACAAGTCGATAAGTAACTGTCTATCGATCTATCGATTTATATTTCTGAATAAAAGAAAGCATATTGAGCACCATACCGAAATGGTATAATCTAATGTGTCCAATCTACCAGAGAACGAAATAAATCATTTGTATTACAGGGTATTTGCATGCGTTATCATCCAGTGCATAAATCTTGGCGCTTTGCACAGCTGCTAACTGTTTTAAAAGTTTATTAGTCACTCGGTAACTAAATTGCACAAACGATCTGCATATTTTATTAGCAAATCAGCAACTGGCTTGGTGGCCATTTGTCTGGGCTGGCTCATAAAGCTGGCGCTGCAGTTGCACGGCGACAAATTCAATTTAAAGCGTGGGTCAGTGGTGAAGGGGGCGTACTTTGGCGCCATAAAGGGGAGGGAGGGGCAGAGAGCCATGAGCTTAGAAACCTACTGAAATCTTATTAGCCTTGGCAGCTGTCCTGCTGCAAAGTGGTTTTTTTAATGACAATGGCGCAGAAACTGCTTTTGTAAGGGCGACAAACAGTGGGCGTGGCAACAGTGCTGGACAATTTGTAATTAGATGAAGCCACAAAGTTGAAGTTGGAAAGTGAAAAACACAGCGATTGCTAGCTGAAATGCATGTCAAAGTTGGCTGCACATTTAATAAGCAGTTGAAGAGAAAAGAAAAAACAATTCCAACTTTTAATTTGTATATTTTACGAGGCCAGGCAAAGTGCAGGGAAACGGCGGGAGGCCCGGGTAGGGCATACAACGCTTGCAGCATGAAACGTGAGATGGGTAAAAAGCAAACAAAAACAAACTAAAAGCTGTAGAAAGTGAACGGTTCAAGAGTTGATGTGTAAGAGCGAGAGAGATAGAGAGGGAGAGAGAGCGAGCACAACAAATCTAAAAAGGTGTAAAGCACACACACAACAGCAGCTAACAGCAACTGCAGAAGCAAAGCAAAAAGAAGAAAACAAAAGCCTTTGAAGTTTACACTCTAAAGCCAAGTGAATGCCGCTCAAAACAACAATAATGAAGAGTGCCGACTGCAGCAGTGCTGAACAACGCAGCAAAAAATCAATAAAAACTAAATGAAGTGCAAAACGCGCTCAATAACAAAAACACACAATCACACACACACACACACAGAGAGAGGGACAAATAACGGCCTGATCAGCAAGCAAGCTTTTAAGTCTCTCTTAGCCTGAGCTTTTATGCATGTGCGTAAATAAAGAAACTACACGTCGTATACTTATTAGCGTGGGAGTGACAGAGCAAACACCTAACCCAACCTTTAACTGCGCCGTTAACTGTAAGCAACGATGCAATGTTGTTGTTGTTGTTCTTATTGTTGTTGTTGAGCGTTTCACATGCTCGCGCAAATGGATGTTAATCAAGAGCCCGAATTGACATTGACGACATTCAGAGCGCTAATTGTAGTGTTTTAAGTAAATTTGTAAAAATTCCTATTGAAATAACAAAGCTCTTTAGAGCACAGATATTATTGGACCTTTATTGATTTTGACAATTTGACCTCAGCATGCTGCGTGTGTGTGTGTGTGTGTGTGTGTTTACTTATATTTTCAAGTATTTTTCAATCTTGCTGTTGGACACTTGGCGCAACAGTTTAAAGCACTTTTCTTGGCAAGGTGACAAAAAGTGTGTGTGCGTGTATATGTGCATGTATGTGTGCGTGTGTGACCCGTTAGTTCGTTGCCGGCAAAGTATACGGCAGGGTGTTCCAATTCTTATTTTCAGCCCAGCGCATGCATTACTAAATTTAGCAAAACCCACACACACACACTAACACACAGAGCGAGAAAAGCATCACAGAAAAGCTTATGCACAAACACCGAAAAAAAAAACTAAAAACAGGAAATAAACTTACAGAGATTCCTCATCGTTGCTTTTGTTCTTGTTGTTATTGCTTTGCTTATTAATTCTGTGCATCTGCATCGCTGTTTAAGTCAATCACACACACACACACTGTTCCTTGAGGTTGCCGAATTAAATGCGTTTTTGTTTTATTTTATTTTTTTTTTTTGCGTGGGTGGTTAAAATTCTATTTTTAGCACACGACAGTAGCAAACCAAAACGATGTGCGAAACGAGCTGAACAGCGAATGAACAGTGGAATGCTTCCGCTTGTTGTTATTGTTTTAACAGCAGCTGCACACTTATCGATAGCGTTTGCCTGGTAATAGCTACCAGCAGCCGCAGCAGCAGTACATTTTTCAACTGGCTTTTGCAACTATTGCATATGCATTAAGTGACGCACTTGATATTGAATTTAGTTTCACTTTGTAACACGCACCTTTTCCAATTATTATTATTATGCGCTGCGTTGTGGTCGTGTCATTTCCACAGCAAACTAAACTTGGTTACTTAACAGCACTGATTTCTTGCATGCTTACAACACTAGCACTATCGATTAACGTGCAGACTAACCTATCGATATTCGCAGACCAGGGCTGGTTTAATAACACGCGCTCTAGCAAAAGGTAAACACGCGATGGATGTGGATTTGGGTTTTGCAGAGCAGCCGGATAATGCGGCTTGGCTGAGTAATCGCTACTTCCCCAGCAAACTGGGCGGCCAGCCGGCCTGGCTTGAATTGGAAGCGCTGCCAAGCACAGCTCAGCTGCAATGCAAACAGTGTCACGCGCAAAAAGCCTTTCTCTGTCAGCTGTATGCGGCTTATGAAGACGAGTTCAATTTCCATCGCAGCATTTATGTGTTTGTGTGCAGGAATGGCGACTGTCAGCAGGTCAACAAGGCGGAGTGAGTGGCAAAGCAAGTGTTAATATATGTATATATGTTAAGATTAGCATTATTATTTTTCGCTTACCAGAAACTTCACCGTGCTGCGTTCGCAGCTGCCGCTGAAAAACAAATTCTACTCGGAGCAGGAGCCCTCGGAGCATGGCGAGCCTCTGGTATGTGTTGTTTGCTTCTAAAGGAACTTACCCAATCTTATTGTTTCTATACACGTAGCCTGCCATAGCTAGTCTTAAGAAACTGTGCGCCGCCTGCGGCTGCTTGGCGCCGCATGCCTGCAGCCGTTGCAAGGAGATCAACTATTGCTGTGCCGCACACCAACGTGCACATTGGCAGCAGCACAAGCAGCACTGTGGCGGCGGTAGACTGCCAGAAGTTGCCAATAAGCCCCTGTCAGCGATTGAGTTTCCTGTCTACGAAATAGTCATGGAGCGGGAACCAACAAGCGAGGTGTCTGCAGCATCTGAGAAGGACGAGCAGGCATGTCTGGCAGAGTATGAGCAGCTCTCCGCCAGCGGCAAAACGGGCGAGCTAAGCGACGTGCCCGAAAAGGAGCTGGACAAATACTTTGGCAGTGCTTCGGCAGCCGAGGACAAAGCCTTTCAAAAATTCAAGCAGCAAATTGCAGCTGAGCCCGAGCAAATCGTGCGCTACAAACGCCAAGGTGAGCCGCTGTGGATAGCAAACGTGGCGGATACGATTGAAGATCAGCTGCAAGCGATGCCCAACTGTGCCCAGTGCGGCGGTCCACGTCAGTTTGAATTCCAGATAATGCCACAAATGCTGGTGCTGCTCAAAGACGAAACACTAGACTGGGGCGTGCTGGCGGTATACACGTGTGCGCGCAGTTGTCAAACAAGCGGCTACGTGGAGGAGTACTTGATCAAGCAGGACATTGTGGGATCAGCTGCTGCAGAATTGTCTTAAGCACAAGCTGTTCGGCTTACAGTCTCCGCTGTATGAATACAAACCAATTTTATTTGTTAAGGGACGAAACAAAATGTAAAAGAAAGATCTAAGACAATTAATGATTAGAGAGAGAGGAGCGATATGAACACGAACTTGGGAGCTACTTCAGTTTGATAATGGGAAAATAGCTGTGCCTGCTAAAATCAAATTCCGGCTGACGCTTCACCTCCTTCTGGTGGCCACGGGCGAGCACATTCATCACCACAAAATTGGTACGCGCTATTTGCAGCAGGTCCAGAATCTAGAAGACAAAACCCAATTAATTAAATTGAATAGTCGTTAATCATTTCAAGCCTACCTCCTGCTCGGGGTTCTGTATGCTTTCGAGCACATTGCGCGCCTGATCGAAATGCTTGGCCGCATAGCTGTACAGCTCCTCGACGCTGTTGAGCATCATGTGATCGCGTATATTTTTGAATTCAGCATAGGACACTGGCGGCGGGCTGGTGAGGGGCACAAATGGCGAGAAGCGTCGATTGTAGCGTATTTCCTCATTGTCGAACTTGGACATGGGCAGACGCACGCGTCCATCTTTGGTTAGAGCACCCATGGCCTTGTACATGCCGCCGCACAAGCTGAGCAGGGCATGGTAATAGACGATCTCCTGGCGATAGGGACGTTGTTGTTTCTTATTCTTCTTGGGCTTGGCAGCCTTGCGATTCTTGCCGCCAGAACCGCTGCCACCGCCATTCAATTGAATTTTGCTCTGATGCTCAGCATATTCCTCTTGCGCCAGCAATATATTCTCTGTGCGCGTCAGCGCCGATACCAGAAAACCCACTAGAAACTCATAGGGATACCAATATATGTACAGAAACTCGTGCACAGCATACAGCTCCAGCTCAAAGCCAGACATCAGATAGATGAGCATCGCACGAAAGCAATTATACAGCACCCACGTGGAGAAGTGCGTGCTGTGCTTCAGCGCCGTCGCATGCGACTCATTGCCCTCCATGGCGCGCTCATTGGCCAGCTGATTCATCAGCGAATCCAGACGTGCCGCATCCACCTGCAGCGGGTCGAAATTCTCAATTAGATGCGCCAGCTTATCGCGCTGCCGTGCACGATTGAAGCCGCACAAGCGTATGAACTGATTGAAGGTGTTCATGTTGATGCAATAGCGAAAGAAGGTTTCCAGATGCTGCTGCACCTTAGGATCACTGGCCACCGGATGCTTGGGATTCAGCACGGGCGGTGAATTAAATGCCTGCACCGAATGTCGTAAAAATTGCTTCATCGATTGTTTGCCATGTGCTAAGCGTATACTCGAGCTAAACAGGCTCTGGAGCACGCTGCGCGAGAGGATGCAGTGTCCCGATTTGCGGCTGTACTCGATGAAGAAGTTCTAAGAGAAAAGCATATATATTAACTATATAGACTGCATATTTACTCTGCTTATGACATACCAGCGCGGAGTAATAGTCCTTATAGCGTATCACCTTGCAGGCGTACTTGAAACGCGCCACCATCTCCTCCAGAAATTGATAGCTGGCGGGACGTTCACGTATCTTGATACTGCGCGGAAATGTGGGTGGCTGGCTTCTGTCATGTATGCGCGGAGAGAAACCCATGGGATTAGGCGCCTCGGCTATTGTGTACAAAGATTTGTTTAGCTCTTTCCGACATTATATAATTCCCATACTTACATCCCTCAACGGGCTGGGTGCCACGTTCGATGGTGCGTTTAATGAGCGGCAGCAGCTCGGACGCCACATTGAGACTCTTGTAGATTTCATTGACCGCCTCCTCGGCGCTCTCAGCACCCACCATTAGCTCCAGTTGGTAAATGGCTTGGAATAGGTGGCGCATAAAGCGTAAACGATGTACCACAGCCATGAGATTTTGATTTTCAACCGGCGGCAGCTGTTTGCACTTGCGCACCAGCTCATCCTCCACCTCTTTCAATAGTCCGGCAATGCTTGTGGGCTGAGCCTTTTCCGCTGCCAGCAGCGCCGAATTGCCATACAATTGAAAATCCTCCTCCTCGTTGACAGCAGCCAGTATGATGATATTTTTGATGACCACAATCAGATTGCGCACAGCGGTGCAAAAGACGCGCAGCGCCTTGTCCTGTATCTGTGATGGTGCATGCAGATAGAGGCAGGTGAATAACACCTGATCCATGGAATTGCCTTCCAGCCAGGAGACCAAGCATGCAAACAGTGCATCGAAAATGCCAATAAGCTCTGCCGGCTCCAGGCCATCCAACTTAATGGCGCCCATCTGTAATTTCATAATGAGTTAGTGATTCCAGCAAAGGCAATTGCAACTTACCGCAACGGCCGCCTCGAAAGAGGGCGGCGGCAAATCGAACTTATCGAAGCCCATGCCCACATCCATTTTGGGATCCATTATCTCTATCGCAGACATAGCCTCAAACAAACCAAACAGCATGTCCTGCGCCAGCTCGCCGGGCAGCAGCTCGGCGCAGGCATCGTGAAACTCCTTGGTCACATCCACCCAGCCGTGTATGGGGTATTGTGTAATGTCTTCGGCGGCGCTGCCGCCGCGTATTGCACGCTGTACATCGTTGTCCGCGAAACCGCATTCGCTCATGCTCCACTCGTCCGGCTCATTGCTGTTGCTTTCCCGCTCCAAATCCCTCTGCTCAGCTGTAGTTCTCACCGCAGACACTGAAGCTGAGGCAGCGGCTGCTGCTGCTGCTGCCGCCGCTGCTGCTGCGGCGGTGGCAGCCTGAAAATCTGTTGGCTGCTCGCTTGTGTAGGTTCCGTGCATTATCCTTAATCGACCAGCTACTTGGCAAGTAGTTGCTTTTGTCAATTGTTATTACTTTTTGTGTTATATTTTGTGTAATTCGATTTTTTGTCGTTCTTGACGTGCATCTAAGATTTTGAGCAGTGTTGGTGAATACAGCGTAGAGTGCACAACACTTACCAAACGTATTTGACAACACTGTGTTTGCGTGGCGCCAAACACGTTACAAATTGAATTCATATATAAAATTAAACAAATCAGTTGAAAACTATTTGAAAGCTAGCTTCATAATACGGTTTTGTTTAATATAATATTAACTACTGATTATTACTCTAGATGAAGATTAAATAAATCGTATAATCTTCAATCTTGTTATCTTGTTGTATTCTACTGTTCTGCTGTACCTTGAGTAAAGGGTATTGTAAAACCATCAGCATTTCGGCAGTTTAACGTGTATGTTCATTAAGCTAAGTAAATGAATGAATTGTAAATGCAGCAATTTTATAGACCAGACACGTTTCGTTTTTTTCTTATGTTTATGCTGACTATATAATATATGAGTAATTTGGCTGACTGGTAAACAATTTTGCTCCGCTATTTCATATGATAAGAAATAAACATGCGGCTCGCCTGATGTTTGTTCAACAACTGTTATCGCAATAAGTCTGTATTTACTCATATACCATATAAGAAGAACAACTGTTTCTGTGCAAAGCACTCATTTTGGCTGGCAACAAAAACACTTTGGTCTTATCAACAGTCCGCAACTGTTATCGGTCGCGCTCCAATTTGAGTGGAAAAGTGGAAAAGCTCGCTCAGCTTTTACACACGCTTTCGCTCTTCGCGTCGCGTCGCGCCGCGTCGCGTAGCCTCGCCTCGCCTTGCCTTGCCCAGCGTTAGGTTCGCATTCTGAGCTGGAGCGCTTTGTTGTTGTCTCCTCCATCGCACTTTTTTGGGGGTTGTCCGTGTTCTGGCGCGCCGTTTGAGTGCTTCAAATGCCCAAATAACGGCACAATTGAGTGGCGCAAAAGCATTTCACCAATGCGAGGGGTTGTATCAGTTTGTTTACAACAATTCGGTTTCAGTATCAAATGCGTTGCCCTCGTGGTCAATACGCGCGCTAACGGTCAACCGCTAAAATAATCAACTATAAAACAACAAAAAAAAAAAACACAAACATCAGGGCGCCCAGATTTAAAAGAACACACGACACGCCGCACGATTTTTTGATTGGTCGAGCCAAAAAAAAAAAAAAAAAATTACAAATACAAAATACGAAGTGTTAGTTCATCAACAGCTGCGTCAATTTCTTGAGAAAGGAGCCAGGCCCATTCATTAGCCAATTCCAACGCGTAAGTTTCCCTGACCCAACGTGATTTTATATATTTTTTTTAAATTTATGTATATAGCTCATAGGGGTAATGTTCCAATTGTTTTCCCGCCCTGTTCTATGTGTTTCACAATAAGATTTGCCGCCAAGTGCTATATAAAAAATCGAATATGTCTTGAAAGAACAACAAGGTTTTCGTTTGTGGACCAGAACTTGATTAAATGCCGCAAATACATTAATATATAAATACAAACACAATGGCGGTACCAGAAATTACGAGTCTTTTTGGCAAGCGACCAAATCAAATTAAAAAAAAAAAAAAATTTGTCTGACCCTATAAATACTATATGTACTACGTCTGTGGCCGAAACAAATATTTTCCTAAGCATTTGCCGGCCATTAAATATATGTTTTAAATATTTTTATAGTTTAATAGCATGCCAACGCGCATAACCCAAAAACAGAAAGAATTATAACATCTCAAAAGATGAGCAAGGTTTTTATTTTTAGTCCTGACTCGAGCTTTTCATGATATACAAATTAACCCAAATACTTGGCAATGTATTTACACGCATTTAGCTTAAAGAATAACTTAAAAAAAAGTTGAAGGAAATGCGCACTTTTTTTTATTATAAATTATTTTTATGGATAATTTGTGGTTATATAATGAAAATTACTTAACTATTTAATCTTAACTGCCTTAAAGTGTTAAATATTGGACTAAAGCTTGTTCGAGATAAAGCCCTTCTACGCAATTCTCATGCTGCTTGCAGTAACCATGTCGCCTTAACGATTTCTTGCACTATCTATGTACACCAATTGATAAGAATTTATTTAGCCTCGCGCTTCGTGTATTTATTGATAACCACATGAAATACAGCTATTTATGGAGTGCTATCAGTGGGTAATTCAAAGGGAGTCTAGAGTTCGCCCAGCGATAAGCAATCGAAAGAACTGATTTCAGTTTTCAATTTTCAAATTGAATAGCTAAGCTGAGAGCCGGTGCAGGGCTGGGCCGGGCTGGGCAGGTCGTGACAATTGACCAAATTATGGAAGTAAGGCACGCAAACATTCGATTTGCCAGGACCCACAGGACCACCACAGGACACCACACATAAAATGTACGACTACAAAATGCTGCAACAAAACCGACAAATGTATAAAAAAAAAAAGAAAGAATAAAAACACCACACAATGGGAAATCCGCACGTACGCGGTAAAAGCCATGAAAATCAAAGTCATGCAGACAACACACAAAGGAAAACGGAGAAAAAACTGAAATCAGAGCAAAAACTTACAAGACACACACACACACACACGGAATTTATTTCAATTGATTTGGCGAGGAAGGGAAGAGGAGTGGGGGGGATGGGGGCACAAACTTAGACAGCAACAAAAAAAATAATAAATTCCAGTTGCTTAAGTCCCTTATGGAAGTTCAAGTCCAGTTGGCCCGACTTCGTCTTGACTTGTATTAAAGTTGCGTATACGCCCCCAATTTCGCTCCCTCCCCCTGCCCCTGCCCCTTGGCTGTGCGGTCCAAGGCATTTTTTCTCACATTTTTTGTATCGATTTGATTGGATTTCATGTTACGAGTTTGTTGTGTTTAACACGCTTCAATAAAGTTGGCCGACACAAACAAGTCGAATGCCTGAGCTTAATACGCCGCCGCCCCCCCATTTCTCGCCCACCTTGGCTCTGTGCGGTCCACTTAATTGAATTCAAATCAACGACAGATGGGCAGGTGCTATGTGTGCAAAGGTTGTGTACGTGTGTGGGTCAAATTAAATGGTGGCAGGACAATTGGCCAATAAAATTAGATCGGGTCGAAGGACTAGGCCATAATAAGTTGAACTTGTGCATGTTTAAAGAAGTCCAAACTGAAGATAACATAAAAATATAACTCCTCCTCCTATAAATTTTGTATATAAGAAGATAAGAGAGGGAGAAAATGAGAGAGAAAGAAAGACAGAGAGAGAGAGAGAGAGACTTAACCCTTTGAATAAAGTGCCTTTCAGACAGAGCCTTTCTATGCAATTCTCAATTCTCATTGTGTTAAGCTAAGTTCAAATAGAGAGAGAAATTACTGGCAATTGCCATTATAAAACAAATTTCATTTAAACGTTCCCAAAAGTTCGCTGCCAGCAAAAGTAGCATAAAAACCGCATGAAAAACCTTTTGTGAAATGAATAAATGAATTTCGTTGAATTTAAAGGAAAATGTTAGTTCCAATGCGCATTTGCAGCTCTTTGACTAAACGCAAATGAATGTAAAAAGTTTTTGCATAGAATTTACAGCTGCCGTTGCCCAGATCCCGGCAGGTCTGTGTAAAATATGAGCGCACTCGGCAAATGGCAGCAGCAGGATGGAAAAATCATTTTTCATGCAATTAAATAAACGAGTCGGAATATTAGGCTGGCTCGTATTTGGCCACATAACAAATGGAAAAAGAGCTTCAGATGGGGATTTATTATGTTTGCCATTTGCGAGTCGAAACAATTAATGAGACTCAAAGTAAAAGCTATTTAATTCAATTGCCAAGCGGCTTTTGGCACAAACCAATTAAGCTAAAACGTTTGCCAGTTCATGAATGATGCTTCGATAAACAAAGGCGACATTGAGGCAAGGAGCAGCAGCATTCAAAGGACCTGCCTGCTCTCATCTTGATAGAAACATAACAATGACAATAAAAACACATTAAAATCAATCTGTCAACAAAGACAAGCAGCGCTCCTGTCAAGAGGCCAGCCCCACAGGCAGGAGGCGACGCGCCTTCAAAAGTCAGCTCCCCAGCGAGGCTCGAGTTGTGTCATTGAATTTTCAAGTGCTTAAATGGAAAACATACTTTGCATATTGTAACAAGTCGAGGACTGGCTCAGTCTATACAGATGCCATTATCATTAGCACAGCGTCAAAGGGAAACAGCATGCCGGATCTCATTTTATTACAAGAGGAAAAGCAAACAGCAAAATGGCGCCAACATTGTGTCAGCCAGAATCGCAGAGAGGGGCGCGCGAAACGGTGGTTCGAGCCCCGAGGCAGCTTGTTGCTACTGCACTCCAGCCAAGCGGCAAACACAATGACAATCATAATGAAGATGACGATGAAGAAGAAGATGATGATGATGATGATGATGATGATGGTAATGATGATATTGTGTTGTGCGCCAGCTGCCTGGCTGGCTTCCTGCCAACAATTTAGCTGCTGTCTGTTTGCTTTTCAGCCAGGAGAGAAGCCGAGAGGCGAGTGCGGCAAACAGGGCGTATGCGTATTGTTCTGTTGCTGCTGCCGCATCCGTGCGAGGCTTAAGCGCGGGTGGCGGGTGGGTAGGGAGCTAGGGAGGGCTGCCAGATTAGCTGACTGTGAGGAAAAACAACAACAAGAACAACAACAACAGCAGATTTCTGTGCTGCATGGTGGCATATGTAAAAAATTATCTTGCATTTTGCAGCATTTCATTTTAATTGAGCTTTAAGCTCTCGCATTGCCACTGCCACATCCACATCGACATGCATTTCCATTCGCATTTGCCACTTCCCACTTCCTACTTCCCACCCCCCCAACCGCATCCAGTTCCGGCTTTTTGTATCGTTTCATTCGCATTTTAAGCCGACAGCTCGCGTAATCCATGTCCCAGTGCACTGCACTAAATGCAAATGCGACAATGAATATATATCATTGGAGATGGAGATTTGCACAATATGCTCGCAATT